AAAGGAGAGTAAATGATTATTAAACTGTACGTCTGGTCCCAGTTTTTCAGTCGCTGATTGATCGTCGCGGCGGGTCAGTTCTCGCACTCGATCATGAGGCATTTCGTTGATCTTGGGTTGTTGTGGGTGTACCTCTTTGCCCATGTGGCCAAGAAACCAAGAGAGGTTGTGCAAGCCCATGCAGTTGCGTGTTTGTAGAATGTGGGCTGCTTCTCGAATGATGTTGCCGTTTTCGTAAGCCCGAATGGCGGCGCGAGAGTCTGTGAAGACATGTGTGTGTGAGGGGTCGACCATCGCTAAAGCTATAGCAACCTTCTCAGCTATGGCGCTCGTTGCTAGCCTAACCGAGGCGGCTGAGCGTAGGGCTCCGTCGCCATGTACTACCGCTAGTGCGAAGGTGGAGGAGTTATGGTATTGCACCGCATCTACGAAGACGGTAGAGTTGTGATTTGCAGCGATACGGTTGAGGATCACGTGAGCGCGGGCCAGGCTTCTGCTTTTGTTGTGTTCCGGGTGAACATTTCGCGGAAATGGGTTTACCATGTAGGTAGCGTGGACAGCCCTGGGGAGGGTTACTGCGCGTTCAAGGTAGGGATGTGGGGACATGCCAGCCTCGTTTAGAAGTTGGCGGCCTGCCTTGGAGGAGGAGAGGCGAATCGCTTGGGCCGTGGTCTGGGCCTCGATCACTTCATCGAAGTTGTTGTGCATGCTTAGTTGGTTGATACGGGAAGTCTATTTTAATTTCTTCATACATTGCGCTGTTCTTTGTTTTATTTTTTTATTTTTGAGCTCGACCAGTAGGGGTAGGTGGGGGAGGGGTGTTGGGTGCGCTTTCGTGAAACTTCATCATCCTGACTACGCCCACTGCAGGGTGAAAGGCCTCTCCCGTGTTCGCCAGTACACTCGGTACTGTGCTTGCTGCTGCCCCTTTATACGCGCAAACTTCCTAATCTCATCTGCCCACCTAACTTTCTATCTTCCCCTCCCCCGCTTGTCTTCTCTTGGAATCCGGTCAATCACGCTGCATGGCAGGCGGTTATCCTATCTATACCTACGTGCTATACGTGCCCGGCCCATGTCCATTTCTTCTTGATTTCGACAATATTACCCTTAACCCGGTGTTTCTTGTCTGACCCACTCGGTGAAACAAATGGCAATGAAACTTGCCCCCCCCCCCTCCCTCTAAAAAGTTTTCGGCCCTCTTCGGGCTCACCAAAGAGGTGAAGCTCGTGTGAGGGATATTACGTTATGCAACGTAGTGATTAACTGCCTCGCCAGTGCGTAATGATTAAACTAACTTGGTGTATACATAATTTAGTATTTTTTCACATAGCTCCGTTACGCTCAATGTGGTGTCAAGAGACCCACCATCGTCAACCAATATTATCTGCCCTGCTGGAGGAACGACTCTCCAAATGATACCTAATTCAGCCCAATCTAGTGCGAACAGATCCCTTTTTATCACTGACTTTTAATGAGATAGCGTTATGAGCTCTTTTCGCAGAAATTCACGTATCAGTGTCAGCGTCGTTAATTGTGAATGGAAAGTTAGTGTCTTCGTGAATCGAATATTCTAGGTAGACACCAATACATAACAAAGTAAATCTGCCTTTCGAGTTAGATTCAAATCGAGGCCTTTTAAGTGGTGGGCAGGGGTTCTACCACGGAGGCATGCTAGTGCTTGAAACTGCCTCGTAAATAGACGCCACAAGACAGTTTTGTAATCAGAGAAGTCTCCTTAACTCATATTATATACTGCGTGGCACAGTCGTATGGAAGCGCACCAGGTGTCAAAACGTCTGAATTGCGCAACTACTATATGGCTTAAAGCTACCCACTCATTACAAGGTGTGCAAGTGTGCGTCTTCGTCAGCTCGCAAAAAGAACAATTAGGGTGCAGTGAACACTTCTCAACTGCACTTGCCATAGGATTTCTGTAGGATAGTTTGGAATGGCTAAACTTACGTGTAGGAACGTTCCTATCATTTCTAAACGGTTGAAGGTGGTTCGCAAGAAGCCCGACTATGATATCCCGTTCCACTCTTAAAGGGGAAACTCGAGCACCTTCCACGATTTTAATTTCGTCGCTTCATGTAACCCCAAGTTGTCCCCGGCGACGTTTGCCATTCCTGGGTAGACGTGTTTTTTATCTAACTGAACTCCGGTAGAGGCTTGACGTACAGGGTAGTGGTCCTTCCCCCCCCCCCCCCCCCCTTTCAGTATTTTGTTTTTCACAACGGTAAAACGTTCAGTTATCAGTCGGCGCCTGTAGTGTGTGTTTCTTCCCCTCCGGGGTAGTCTTCTTGCATGGGGGTTCTCTTCCGTGTATACGTAGAACAAATATAATGGTCCAGGATCTTGTGGTCGCTTGTATGTGGTACGTCAAGAATGCGTATTACGCAGGCAAAAGTCATGTATGGTTCGAAATGGTCGAACTTGACACACGTGACGTTGTGCGTATTTAACGTGACAAACGTTTTCATGTATTGATGCTTTGTATTTTATTATTGCTGCAAATAAAGGTACCCATGCTCGCGACATTATGTTGTTTGCCATGCAGGGTTAATATGAGCCCGCTTTGTGACCTGACTTTCATTTGAGGTGTAGAGAAGATATGCAACGAGTCAAAAGGTGTCGGTGGGTCTTTTACAGGAGTGTCCCCCACTGCTCGCGTCATCACTCGTCCCACCGCTGAGGCGGTTGACCCCCTTCTCGCCGAGTCGTGGGTCAGATAACGTACATATAGCAGCACGACAGGGATGTCTCGCTATCGGAGCGGCGAGCTGACTAGACGCAAAGGCGCGACGATGCGTCTATCACGCGGAAGCCACGAGCTGCCCCCCCCCCCTTGCCCCCCAATCCCCTTTCACTCCTACCGCGCTTAGTTCAAGCAGCGCGATAAGCAGCTTTATCAAAAGCATTGCTGGAAGCTGAGCACTGTAGAGAGAGGGAGGTATTCTATAGTCTTTCCCTTGCTGAACACTTTACAGACGCACTATCAGTGCTGAAATGCTATAATAGGGACACTGATATACCCACGCGCGTCCAAATATGGACACAAACCGACCGCATAGGTACGAGAAATATCTGTCGCCAATGCAGTCGAAAGTTTTCTCGCGAATACGGTGGCAATCGAGGCTGGTTGACGCTGGCACGAGCGTTACCAACCTATCATGACCAAAACGGTGTCTTTGGTGGTTCTATGGGAATACGTGTTGGTCTCTGCTTGTTGAAGGATACGTTCCGAATGGGAGCGTTAGTGTTGTGGCTTGGCGGTTTGCGCTAGTTGGTATGACATGACGATTGTCAAGGCACGAGATCAGAACGACGACACAGAGACAAGAAGAAAACGAGCGCTTGTCTTCCTCTTGTCCCTTTGTCGTCTTTCTGAGCTCGCGCATAACAATCGTTAGTGTAGTAGTTGCGTAGTGCCATCACATTCAATGGCGTCAGTTCCGGGAAATGGGGGGGGGGGGGGGGGGGCTGGGGAAACGTCGTGGTGCTCATCTTCTTCCCAAGTTTACGTTTACGGTTACGTTTTACCGTACGTTGCACAGCGTACACCAAAAACTCGGCAGGTGTGCGACACAGAAAGCGGCTGTCTACCAAGCAGCTCCTGGCATAGCACATATTCATTCATCGTATAGTATAGCAAAGGAATGAGAACGGAAAGTAAGGGTGAGTACGAGTGGTGCGAGGTTGAAGAATAAGGGAAGGCGGAGAGGGACATTGTAAAGCATAACGTAACATTATATAGTATAGTATAACAATGCGGTGGGTAAAGAGAGTGATGTGAAGGTAAGAAAAAAGGGAAGGGGGCCGAGTAAAGAGTACCATAGCTCTGTATAGTAGGGTATAGAGAGGGGGAAAAGCAAGTGCTGGTGAGGAGGAGGAATGTGAACAACAGAGTAAAACATTGCATAGCCCTGCATTGAACAGTACAACAAAGTGGAGAGAAGGGTAGTGGATGTGAGGATGAAAATAATGACGAGGGGAGAGGGCTAAGCACAGCATATATCCATGTATCGTATAGTATAGCAAGGGGTGGCAGATGAAAGTGGGAATGAGGAGTGATGTGCTAGTGAGAAGGGAAAAGAGGATAGAAAAGGAGGAAGGGGTAGATATATCATAGCATTGTATGTTATAGTTCAGAAAGGGGTGGTAGAAAAAGTGGCGAGAAGGATGGAAACACCGCAAGCTCTGCTGTATGCTCAGACTTCACACCACTTGTGCGCAGCGGCCCATTTTTTTTTTTTTTTACAACCTTGCAGAATTTTATTACACGCCGAAATTCATGATTGAATTGGTGATTCATGACGCTTTAAATACGAGCGAAAGATAGAAGGGGAGGTTTAAGAGCTTGTTTTTTTATTGTTGGACACAATCTTATTGAAATAATGAGGAAGCAGACAATACTCCCAAGGAAAATATAAGGGATGTTACTTGTAACGATTGTGATAATAATGTGAAGAAAGTAAAGTTGGCCAAAACAAAACTTGCCGCCGGGAGGTGGCAAATACGGGCGTGTAACTTTGCACTTAGCAATACAAGGAAAAGCGAATGTAACAACGCAAACGTCTTGTGAATGCAAAAAAGCAAAAAAAAACACACTGCGGCAGTTCTTTGCCACGTGGTGCGCGGGTACGCTGTGCCATCTAGCACTTCACGACCACGGCAACCGTTGGAAGACGACTAGGGGGTTCCACCACCCCGCCCATTTTTTCTAAAGTTCATTGCGTCTATATAGGTACACGTGCATATACAAACGCACACACGAAAATACATAAAGGGTGACTCAACACCATCGCCACAGCTCCCGCTCTTGCCCGAAAATAAATTTGTGGCTACGCCTCTTTTCCTGCCGTTCGTGTCTTCTTGAACACTGTTTATAATGTCTCCAGACTTCGCAGACGTTAGCTCAAATCGTCACCTTTGTCTCCGTTTGCGTTGCGTAGCGATTCTGTGAGCTCTGTGTTTATCCCTATTTCCATACGTCCCAGGCGAGGAGGAGCTGATGGAGCGGGCCCGCCAGCTGGCCTCCGAGAATGCCCAGTGGCGCTCGTACATCGGCATGGGCTACTACGGCTGCCTGCCGCCGGCCACCATCGTGCGCAACGTGTTCGAGAACCCCGGCTGGACGACGCAGTACACCCCGTACCAAGCCGAGATCGCGCAGGGTCGCCTCGAGAACCTGCTCAACTACCAGACCATGGTGGCCGACCTGACCGGTCTGGACCTGGCCAACGCCTCGCTGCTCGACGAAGGCACCGCCGCTGCCGAAGCCATGGGAGTGTGCACTAGGTAGTGCGAGAGTCTCAAACTCACTCCATCTAGTATGCAGCAGTTACGTCTTCAACATCTGTTTATCCGGTGCAACGCTGTGCAAAGTATTCAATAAGTTTGGTCAGCATTGCGCGTCTCATTGTCGGTTTTCACAAGCGCTTGCACCAGCCAAGCACAAAATTCCAAGAAATGCGTCTCTATGAGTTTCAAATGAAGTACCAGAGAACGAAAGCAAACGGACGCTAAGCAATCTAGCCGCATCATATAACAGACGTAGAAGGACGTTTGATTGTTTGTAAGGTACAAGATATACTCGGTGACTGCAAGGCATAAGAACTACAAGAAAGGTATATTAAGTGTGAATACACTTTACAAGCGACCCCAAACCATCCACCGCCATCGGCGGCGTCCGCAGTCTTCTCTCTATCTTTAAAAGAAAGAGGACTTGGCGGGCCGCAGCGCGACGCTCTACCGAATAAGCCACGGACGCGACGCTGATATCGGTGTCAGTAACGCGCCTTATACCCCCTCCCCCTTCGCTCGCTCCTCCGCTCTCCTCGCTCGCTGCAGCTGCGCGCGCACCCCTCTCTCTTGCGCGCCCGCCTTCTCTCTCAGTCTCCCGTCGAGGGCGGGTCGTGAGGGGGAGTAAAGTTAAAATCCGTTGGCATTCGCCAATGAGTTAACGTAAACTCCCCCGTGTGATCAAATTGCAATTCCAAGGAACCATTACACCATAAAGGCACCATAGTGTGATTAATAAATATAATAGTGCGAATTAATAAATACCTCTCATAGCATCACCCCGTGTATTCGCACTTAACCATGTTCACCCTCGGGGAAATGCTTGGGAGTTTTTTTGGTTGTTAAAAACATTGAAGCATGGCCTAAGGCAAAATGCGTGTTCGCCGAGGTGGTATAGCAGTATGATGCTCAGCTGTCGACTCCGAAGGTCTCCGGTTCCATCCGAGCCGTGGCAGTCGCATTTTGATAGTGTAGAAATGCCAGAGGCATGTGTGCTGTCTGATATAAGTGCACGTTAAGGACCACCAGATGGTAGAAATTTCTTGAACCCTCTACTACACTGTCCTTCAATTCATATCAATTCTTGGAAGGTTGATTATTATTATTATTATTGTTATTGTTGTTGTTGTTGTGAGTGTAACTACTGCAAGAAGCCTCATTAGCTTCTACAGTTTTTCACCTCATGTGTGAAACTGAGTATAGACCTACATAGGGGGCCGGGACAGGGAAGATAGTGGGAGAAAAGAGAGGGAGAAGGGTTCGGCAAAAGTTTGGACAACATGTCTCCTAACGTTTCCATTCGAAAGAACGCCTTTCCAACATCCCATATATGAGTTATTTCTAAAGAGGGTCTTATGTCAGTTGTTGATAAACATATCGATAGTGAGTTCAATCGTGACTAAAATCTGAATGCCGATTTTGAAACATATATAGTTTTAGTTCCACGGTGACGTTTATACAACCTCAGTTCATCAATGAAAATGTCTTCCGATACTAATAGTGTGTAGCGTGCCCCGCAGAAATACCCGTTTGTGTAAGATGACAGTATGTGTCAGAGTGCGCGTACCTGGGTTGGTACGTGTACATCAGTGGGACAGTTGGTACACCATAGTTCTGTCTTATGCGTTGCCTTTTCTCGCCTCAAATGAGTACATGCGTACTTTTGACTTCTCTGCTTCCTTTCTGCAGGTTCACGAAAAAGAAGACCATGCTCGTCTCGGACAAGGTGCACCCTCAGACCCTCGCCGTGGTTCAGACGCGAGCAGAGTGAGTGTGAACCCACGACCTGGGCTTAATGAACAAGTCTTTGCCAACACATTGGAAATAAAGTTAAAAAAAAATTGCCCGCAGCTTCCCTCGGGGGAACACTGAGGAGGATGCGGACCATATAATTGGTTAACGGGGTGTTAAAGTGCGACTTACTTGGGTCGATGGCTAAATTGGTTAACGTAGTTGTGAAATGGGGTGTTAAATTGCGACTCACTTGGGTCGATGGCTAAATTGGTTAACGTGGTTGTAGGAGGGGGTGTTAAATGAGTGAACACGTACACACGTATGCGAAAGGGCGGCGCTGGTCGAAGGGACGTCGATCATTGTGTTTGTGGATTCGTTGGAATTCATTTCACCGCGACCTTGGACGTCGACGCGCCGTACAAACCAACCGACGAGCGGCAACTGAGCGAGCGAGCGCCGACCTTGAGTATATATACAGCACGACGGCGCATGCACTGTCAGCTGTTGAATGTTCTCGAAGCGCGACGCCACATGCCCGTCCACTGGAGAATCAGGAGAATTGTAGATGTCGAACGCGGTGTGTAGAGGAGGAAGGGTGCACAGATGGTGGAGGAGTGAAGCGCGCGCGGTGTGTAGAGGAGGAAGGGATGCACAGATGGTGGAAGAGTGGGCGACGGCGCATGCGGGCGCGTCAGCTGTCGAATGTTCGAGAAGCGGTGCGAACGGCGCGGACGGCGCACTACAAGGCGCGAGTATAAGATGCTCCGCATCTAAAAACCTTTAGAAGGACCGGCAACTGTGCAAGTTGGTATGAAACACACTTGGGCTTGTATTTCGTGTTTTCTTTTCTTCATGCACATTCATCTAACATAGTGGTACCGTTTCAGTAGTATTAACAAACTTTCGTCTCCTTAGGTGTGGATTCAATAGTGTAGCGATGATGTTATACGTTAATGAATTTTAAAGTCACTATGACGTTCACCACGTGAGTATCTCTCTCTTGTGTTTATTGTGCAGTGCCCTAGATATCAACGTGGTTGTGTCCGACTGCGCGAGCATGGATTTTTCCAAGGGCGACGTGTGCGGCGTCCTCTTCCAGTACCCGGACACCGAAGGGTCCATCGAGAATTTCGAGTCCCTCATCCAGACCTGCCACGACGCGAAGGTGAGAAGAGCATGCAGGTAGCTGCATTTAAGGGGATGACGTTAATACTATACAACGCCGTGGTGGTCTCGAAGAGAAGCCAATTTGTAAACGGTGAGCATTATGGTGCACAGCTCGCACAAAATTTTCTCTGAAGCTCTATTTATTTACTCAATTAGCCGAAGAAACAAAGCTTGTTGCAAACGAAACAAACGAATGCAAATCTTGCTGCAGTGCGAAACTCGAATACTGAGCAGCTAGGACGTTTCCCTAAATCCCGAAAGTTTCATAGAGGCAAGGATTGAGGAAGGAGAAAAACAGGAAAGCTAAAGGCCAGGATGTTGACCAGTTTGTAGGGAATGGTATGATCTCCCATCCTGAGAAAAAAAATCGCAAAGTATGAAAGTTTAAAATAAAAGTGGAGCGAGCGGGCACACAAACTCACACGTCATCGTAGTCAATCAGACTTGTGTGGCATATGATATGACTGTCTACAACCGCTTGTCCGAGTCTATTTTCTTCGAAGTTTTTTTTTAAGTCCTTCATAGCTCTCGTCCTCAAATACCGTGCTGGATGACGTTCTAAGATAGTCGCTAGGGGCGTCGGTCTGAGGTCAAGGTGATTTTGAGTGTTTGAGAGCGATCATTCTCACTCAGCGCAGTGAGGAGAGACCTGAAAGATTCATCGCAAAGTCTCCTTGATACCACAGTCACCCCATTGTGGCCGGCCATTCCTATAGGAAAAGAAAATGTCTGAATGGAAGTCACTCTTAGCAATAACAGGCACAGAAGAGTGGTCTCTCTCTTCTACATTGCCCTGATACATCAGGGCACTGCAATGCCTAAGGGTACATGTACAAGGCACACATGGTTCACAGCGGGCCACTCTGTAAACAAAGCAGTGTTGTTTAAAGTGCATTGTACATGCAAGCGTCTGAGACACGGCGTCGTCGCAGGCACTGGCGGTGTGCGCCACAGACCTTCTGGCACTGACGGTAATGCGTCCCCCCGGGGAGCTTGGCGCTGACATCGCCATCGGCACCAGCCAGCGTCTCGGGATTCCCCTCAACTACGGCGGTCCGCACGCTGGCTTCTTCGCGGTGCGAAGCTCTCTCACCAGGCTCATGCCCGGAAGGGTTGTCGGTGTCACTAGGTGAGTGATGAAAACGGTGCATCAATGCTCAAGGACAATGAGGACGAAGCTGTGGCCACATACCAAGCCCGCATACCCTATGTTTGTGTGAATATAGACATGCACTTATATATCTCAGGGACGCGACGGGAGGTCGCGCTTACCGACTGGCCCTGCAGACTCGTGAGCAGCACATCCGCCGAGACAAGGCGACGAGCAACATCTGCACGGCGCAGGCGCTGCTGGCCAACATGTCCGCCCTGTACGCCATCTACCACGGACCACAGGGACTGCGGGACATCGCCACCAGGGTGCACAACGCCACGTTGCTACTTGCCAGAGGTAAGTGATTACAGAGTAAGTATTATAAGTACAAGGAAAGCTAACCATCTTCTAGTCTCTGAGGGGTCATGCGCAATAGGGAGCGGCTGTACAACGTTGAGATGCAGTGTCTTGTTCAGTTTTCTAGAATTTGTATGCAGCTCGCGGGAATAAGAAATCACGCCGGATCTTTTGATTTAAAGTTAACCTCGCTATTCAGAAAGCTCACTTCCTCTCGGCACTTGTTTTGTTCATTCATTCATTCATCCATTCATTCATTCATTCTTTCATTCATTGTCCTCAGTAACGCACAGACAGGCTGTAGGTTACGCCCGCCTACAACCAACATCCGAATCCCCAGCCCCCCCCCCCCCTTTTTTTTTGTAAAGCAGGTTTTTTCTTGAAAAGAGTCGTATGTTGGAGAAGCCTACTTCAATAATGTCACGTGAGCAGCGATTTAAAGGTGCTTGCACAGCGCGATATTGTGCACGCCACTACCACTTCGAGTTCTATAAATATATATGAAAAAATGGTCTCACGGTAATTGTACTTTCACTGCTCGTTTTTAACGTAAGAACTCTCCAGGCCACTTCATTTCTACCCCAATCCCAAAGCGAAAGCAGAAAAATCGCAAAAACAAAAAGAAAAACAATTGACGTCGAGTTAATGGCCACAAGCCAGCCGGAATAATTTTTAATGAATTACAGTATGAATCGCGATGGCGATGTCAGTACATTACAGTATGAATCGCGCTCTGCTCTGAACACTTTCCAAATGGGTACTGTTTATGAGCGATGTGGTTACCTATTCTTGTTTGGTCCCGTTGGCCTAGGTGCAGGGTCATGAACTCGGAGTCGCACTTGAGCAAGCACGATAAAGCGGAATGTTTTCTTGAAACGCCTTCCTCATTGGTACATTTTGAGGACTAGAGTGGCATAAAGCGGCCACAAAGCACCGTGTGTCAGTTTCACATCGTTCGATCGATCGCTATCATAGAGGATCTTTTCCAAAAGTGGGGTTATTAAAATTGCACTCTCTAAACCGGTCATTATTGCATCACTGACACATTGCCTTTTCGTAGGAGCGGCCACGGCTGGTCATCACGTGACCCACCCGAGGTTCTTCGATACCCTGAAGATCAAGCCGGCCACCTCCCAGGAGGCCATCAAGAAACGGGCAACAGAGAAGGAAGTCAACTTCCGGTACTTCGCCGATGGCACGGTACGCTTATATACGGCTGAGTATCCGTATATGGCATCTTTTAGCTCACGACATTGTTTTGCTGAAATATGGATTGTTCCGACAACTTCGATGAGTCTTAGTCATCGTCGTTGTAATTCATGTGGTAGCTCTGTAACTTACATTCAAAAATAGGCCACGTAACTGCCGAATTAATGCAGAGGACCATCCAGGTGGTTCCTTGTTTCGGCGATTAACGCAACCCATGCTAGTGCAAGAATATGTCAAAATATAAAGGTTCTTTTTATAAAAGAGCAAGCAGTTTTCGTGGAAACGTTTTCTTTATTAGCGTTACGTTGCAACACTGGGTTTCCACTTTTCGCTCATGATTGTTCATGATGAAGAGCGGGCTTAGGGTTACACTCGGAGGAGCATAATAGTGCTCACCACTTCGAGTTGCTTCGTATACGGGTAGGCAATGTTTGCGGAATGGGTACGTCATAGCAAGTGAATTTCTAACGTTTTTCGACGACCTACGCACGCAGAGATTGTAGTCTGCCCTTCTGACCCGCAATCGGCGACGGAACGGTATAACCCCACCAAATCATTTTCCTCTCCGATTTTCAGTGTGCTGATCATATTTAAATTGTGAAGATGAAACGCTCAGATGCTTCGTTGAATGCGAGAATCGTGTTTCGGCGGCGTCCGCGTCTCGTTTCGGTGGTATACAGGAGATGCAAAAGATCCTCGCGTTCATCATACGGTTACGTCATCCTTGCATATGATGGCGTCCTGACGTCACAGATCGCGAAACCTGTGGCGCCATTACATCTCTATGTCGCAGTCTTGCGGTCACTGGGACGTTACGGAATGATGTCACCACACGGCGCTGTCCCTTTTTCAGAAGTGAACCAATCGCGGAAGCGTTTTTCGATGACAACGTCACAATGAAGTTGCACTCTCTTACAATATTTTTGGTAGCTCAGGAAACCATACTGTGTGGCACCGTTTCATGCGCCTATCTTGCCCGCAGTTATTAGTTTGAACGCCGGGTAGAAGACCACGGTGACGTCGAGTTCTGCGCATGTAAATGGCTCCATAAATGCATAGCTCATAACATGTTGCTGCCTCGGTCTTAAATGTTGTACTTAGAAGGAGAAGGAAGTGCATTAGACAAAAACAAAAATGTTTGCTAGTGCTTAAAAACCATAGCTCTTATCTCAGAATGGCATCGCGGGCTCACATTCTGTTCGTGCATCACTTCCTGATGTAACACTAATTGCAGGTTGGTGTTTCGTTGGACGAGACTGTGACGGAGAAGGACCTCGACGACCTGCTCTGGATATTTGAGAGTAAAAAAACCGCGGTGGGTTGGAACGACTTCTCTTGTGTTGCGCTGTGTGGATGGCTGTTTCTTGCGTTTTTCTCATTTTGCTCAGAAATAAAGCTTTCTCAGCAAACTGATTTCGGCAGAAAAAAAAAAAGTTTGGCAAGAAATAAGGCTGTATCAGGAACGCGACTTATGACGGTTAAGGCGCCGCGCACTAGCAGCCGTTAGTGCATGAACTGTTTTGTACAATTACGTTAGTCTATACTAAGTGACTATGAATACAAAATTATTTAAAAAACAGGACACGATAAGGAATTATCACCAGGCATAATTTTAAATCAAGGTTACTACATGATGCAGCTCTTATCTCGAAGAACGCTTCATGCTGCTATAAGCGTTTGTCCTGGCCCATTCGCATACCACTGGCGTTAACCAGAAGGCTTTACGACTTTGATACATCACACTTACCATTGAAGCTTATATGGTACCTTGTTACGATGTCGTGATCAAAAACGTTGGTTTGATTCTCCTTCACGTTGGGGTGTTGAATTTTTGTGAGAGCAAAATGCAAGAAACGCCGGCGTGCTTGATTATTGTGCACTTTTTTAAATGGTTGAAATCGATGCGGGGCACCCTTCAATGACATGCCTCGTTATCACATCGAGGTTTGGCTTGTAAAACCTCAGCAATTAATTAGGTGACCACACAAAAATGAATTAATCGAAAACTAGACGCAGATGAACCACAAGTTTGGCAAACTAGTCGTCCAGCTTTAACAGTTTAATTCTTGTTTTAGGGGTTGTTGCTTTGTGATGATGAGCCTAATGTATTGCGTCCTCCGATGGGTTAAAAGTATGGCAAGGGACTCAAGGGACTTAGCTATGGAGCAGAAACCTGGAGACTTACAAAGAGGGTTCAGCTTAAATTGAGGACGATGCAGTGAGCAATTGAAAGAAAAATGGTAGGTGTAACCTTAAGAGACAAGAAGAGAGCAGAGTGGATTAGGGGACAAACGGGGGTTAAGGATATCATAGTTGAAATAAAGAAGAGGAAATGGACATGGGCCGGGCACGTAGCGCGTAGACAAAATAACCGCTGGTCATTAAGGGTAACTAACTGGATTCCCAGAGAAGGGAAGCGGGTTAGGGGGAGACAGAAGGTTAGGTGGGCAGATGAAATTAAGAAGTTTGCGGGTATAAATTGGCCGCAGCAAGCCCAGGACCGGGTTAACTGGCGGAACATGGGAGAGGCCTTTGTCCTGCAGTGGACGTAGTCAGGCTGATGATGATGATGATGAAGGGACTCAAGCTCCTAAGTGGTTAAGATTTTGCCTCTCTCGTATTGGTTTCGCAGGCCCTACTGGCCAGCGACTTGCCCGAGCAGCCACCGGACAGCCTGCTGCACAGTGAGCACAAAAGGACCTCCGAGTTCCTCACGCACCCTGTCTTCAACACGTGAGCAAAACTGCTACTCCTTCCTTTTAATTTTATTCGGGAGAAATTAATGTTGATTAAGGATTGGGTTTATTGGTGCGTACTTATGGTGCTGTACCATGCAGCCATGAGGGGTGGACATGATCACGAACAGGACAATTAAGGTAAATAAAGCTCGAACTGCGATCAGGAGTTCCCTTTTGAAGGGTACATTTTCATACGTTCCCACATCTGCCCTGAAAAAGAAAGTATCTTTCGACAGTTCAAGATTAGCATATCAGCTACAGCTACATTATAGCGATTGCCTCAGTATATTACTTGCACTTTTATTTACTTTTACTTACATTACTTGCACGTTTGCACTTCGACGGTAAAAGTCATATCTACACCATAATTGTAATTTCGTGTTGCAATGGATATGATGACCACTAGCAGAACGAAAAGTAATGAACAGGGGAGTCACTGTACTCCTCAGTAAGGAAATAAGTGTTCAATTTAGCACATTTTATTGATTAGACACTTTACTAATGAGACAAGCATACGATGATGCCAAGGAAAGTATAGGGGATGTCATTAGAAGTAATTGTAATGTAAGTGCAATGAAGAAATAGCAGACTACTTATCTTTCGTGGACAAAAGACCACTTTTTTGCTCACATATACATTATAAATATTTTTAGTGACATCCCCTATGCTTTTATTGACATCATTGTTTGTTAGTTCTCATTTAATATCGTAGTCGTTAATGCATGTCAGAACTATAAACAACATGTTACTGAAATTATTGTCACCAAGCATAACTGCTGTCCAAAGTACAAATCGAATACCACTGAATAAACAGAACCCTGTAATTCAACATTGCTCAATTGCCACCGTATTTTTAGCTAGCTTGATCCTTTATGTTATCTTTCAGGTATCACTCTGAGACCCAAATCGTGCGATTTATGAAGCAGCTTGAGAATAAGGACATCTCACTCGTCCATTCGATGATCCCTTTGGTGAGCTCACTTTTGATTGAATGATTGGTTGATTGATTGATTTTGATCAAGAATATGGCCTGGGTAGCTGGCAGACTCGTTTTCGTTGCTCGGTCCCTTACTGCTGCTTTTAATTGTCTGCTATTTTATCGGGCAGATATCCTTGTTAACGTGACCTACAAGTTACGGCGGACTGCTATCTTCACTTTCTTCATTAATAACGTGATACGCTGTTGCAAGTACTCCAAAGTGTTTACCATACAACGCTCCAAACTAGTTGAGTTACAGTAGAGTGAACAATCATAAAGTACCATACTTGGAAAAATCAAAACAATTCCAAGAGCGAGGGCAAGGTGGTTGTTTAAAAATATTTGGAGTTTCATCAGTATTGTTTTTTTTTCCACAGGGATCTTGTACCATGAAGCTCAACAGTACAGTCGAAATGATGGTGAGTGTGGTTCTCGCATCGCTTGCATTGGGGTCTAGTAGTAGTAATTATAATAACGTTAGGTGTTTTATAAGCCATAGCGAAATTCAATAGAGGTTACATGCTTCTGCTTGACTGCAGATAAACGCGGCGTATGGATGCCCGCCAAGAAATTTTCGACATTAAAAGAACGGTATCTCGAATGGAAAAGCATTTTTTCTTTGTTATGCGTATCATGATGCCAAGGTCTCTTTAACTGCATGAACAGTACAGGATCTTGTGAAGGCCTAACCGCAGTGAAATCTGTCCGTCATCATTCAATGCACGTTAACGTCATAAGTCCTGCGCACGACGACGGGAACTGGGGGGGGACGGGGTGAGGGTGTTGTCGCTCTTTCCATTTTTCACGGCTCCCTACTTTACCCTAAGGTGTGGTCACCTGTGCTCGTACGCTTTATCTCTTGAGAAAAAGGCAGGCCCCTACCGAATACAAATTTCAGGAGAGGGGGGAGGGGCAGGATAAGTCATTTTTCAGTTACGAGCCTGTGCAGAACATTGTACGTGCTGTGCTTTCATCGCAAAAATTTGGTATAAAGCTGCAGACCGCTTGAAGGTCATTCTGGTCCTTAAAGCAGCCCCGTTTGCTGAGAGTGTACCAAACCTCTAGCCATTCTTTGTATGACATCTCAATTTTTTCGCTATTGCATTGATTTCATTGCCTTTGGGGTGAAACTGACCTTCTTTAATGGTAAAGATAACGTCATTTCTGTGAAGTTCTTTTTTTTTTTGCCACAACTTTGCAACAATCAAGGGGTCGCACAATGAGCCAAGTACTGTTTTCTCATTGAACAGAAATGTTATGCTAATAAAAAAAATTAGCCTGTGTGCCTACTTCTGTTTGGTTTGCCATATGCTCGTCCAAAACGAAAGCAGACTCGACTAACAGTGTGTAGTGTTTGTTGTCCCGAAATTTCCTGAAATTTCGTTTGTTTGCGTTCTATTTATCATTTTGCGCAGCCGTGCTCGATGCCTGGTTTCGCCAACATCCACCCGTTTGTGCCACTGGAGCAAGCCAAGGGCTACCAACGGCTGTTCGAGGAGCTCGAGCACGACCTGTGCGAGATCACCGGCTACGACAAGGTGTCTCTGCAGCCCAACAGGTCTGTGCGCGCTGCTGTATTGTTGTGTACTAGATTCTCCTGAGCTTAGTTAGCAAACTAACTTGACGAAGTACTGTCAGGAATTGGAGATGCATCGCAAATAGGACAAATGGGACAGCACATGGGTGACAAGAAACACGTACAGCAAATGTTAGTTTGATTTAAAAGTTTGCGTTGTTGAGCATCTTTAAGCTAGTGCTAGTGGCGCTATCCTGACAAGTCAACGCTTATTGCTGGGTCTGCAAACTCTACATTCAGCATTCAGTTAGAATCTATGTCGAGCAGTCGAAAGCACAGTATGACAATTCGCTTGTCGTTGTTTACGTGCTGCACATGCAACTGAGAGCAAAAGGAGGGAGCTGGGATTAGTATGTTACGCATCGCTGTCCCCCCGTGATCTAGACCCACGTAAAACTTTGTTGACACTCCAGAACCGGCCCCTTGAATTCGAAATTGAAAAGCATTTCTTTTTTGTGGTAACGGTATTAGAAATATATTTAATGCACTCCGAGACACCCCGACACTACTTTTGAGGTTCTTGATGCCAGTATTTTTATTTAACGCTATATTATGATCATTAATTTTTTATATACAGAGGTTTTGCAACTTGCGAGGGCACTGCGATGTGAAAGATGAGGTATGGCGTTCGATTTGTGTTACTGCATGACACGCATCAGTTCACTTGTCTATAGGACACAATGACGAAATATAATCGCGTATCAAAGAGTTAGAGCAACTACTTGCATTGCAGAGATGTATAATATATACAGGCTTCGACAGTCGGAGCCAGCCCCTGAAAAACCTGTTATAAGTGTGTTTGCCCCATAAAAATTGTGCGAAAACTAGGGCAACTTGCAGAATATACCTTCATTGACTGACTGATTCATTTGTGGTACTGAGCATCAGAAAGCAACAATTCGCGAGCCATACTTTCACCATTGCCTAAAGGCTGGAAATGAAAGAGGGCGGGCTAGAGTAGGTTACTAGAGTAGGTTCTCTAGTAACGTCGGGAAAAGCGAAAACATGCCCCATTCCTTTCCCTGCGCTGGCTGACGTTTATGGTGCACTTTTTTATTAAATTATCTTTAAGATTTTCCAAGTTGGTAGTGGTTCATTTTTAACCGCAACCACTTGTTTTACTAGGACCATTGAAAGGCACTAACGCTAGCACAAATCTGGTGATATTTCACTTGTTCTTGTCGAAAATTGAGCTTCCTTAAACCACGGCTTACCATCTATAAATATAGGATTTGGGGTTGTGGCCAGTTCTTTCCGCGCCTACTTGATTTCGTATCCCACATATCATATCATATTTTTTTTTCAGTGGCGCGCAGGGAGAGTATGCCGGCCTGAGGGCTATCTCCTCCTACTTTGCCTCGAAAGGGGAGAAGCACAGGAAGGTGAGCATCGAAGACAATGTGTCGACGCGATCGCTTTGTCTTAATGTTGTTTGGTTTCTGTGAACAAAAAAAAATATCTCTTTATAAACTGGCCATATATCAATAAACATTTACTGTTTTCGGAGAGTTAAGTCACATGCAAAGAAAACCGGACTATTAGAAACGAGAGCAAAAACGCATGCACATCGTATACAAAGCCGGCAGAACTTTTACTTTGCTACGATGCATTATCTTCAACTATAGTTGGGTGATGTCGGCCTTTTGTTGCTTCAACGTTTCGAGTTCTCAGCATCTAAAACTTTCAACTTTTTATATTTTTGGCGTTTTAAACTTCGGCATTCTGATAGTTCAGCCTTTTGATTTTCGGTGTTCTGAATGCCACCCGTTAAAAGGGTCTATATAGCCTGCGTACTTCCAAAACTTCTTCTTTTTGTCAACAACCGGAATTATTCTTATACCTGATGGTTCTGTTCTGGACGAAGTGACCCAGTTCTAACGAATTAATGGTAATTCAACCCTGAAACGTTCGCCACGAAAGATATACATTGTCGAGTTTGGTTTAAACACCTTCAACCGAAATTCCCCGGAGTTGAAACCCTCTTAGTTGAATGCCATTTAAAAGTGACCGTCTCTTTTGCCTGTTCTTTTTTTTTTTTTTGAGGCTCTGGGCTCAGTCTTGATGCACCGAATTATTTTTCAGTCATTCCGTAGCCTCAATTATGCATGCGGGGCATGACAAAGTGCTGAAAGTAATTTGTAAGTGTCTCTAACAAGAGGTTAAAATGCTAGTTGCTGTTGCATAGAAATGCTTATGCTTGCCAATGTACAGTGCGGTTTGTACAGAAATGCTAGATAAGTGACCTGTACTCAAACCTTTCAAACCCCGCTGCAGGCTATCATACCCGATACTATAGCTTCTGGTTAACCTCCCTGCCTTCTTTTGTTTATCTATCAATCTCAGGTGCCAATTGGGCTGTTGAAGTTTCCATAAATGTTTTGCTAGCCGTGTAATAGTTTGTTCAGTTGTATGATTGATTGATTGATTGATTTTACTGGCCTGGCCTCGGTTCAATGCAGGTGTGTCTGATCCCGATGTCTGCGCATGGCACCAATCCGGCGAGCGCGCACATGGCCGGCATGGCCGTGGAACCAGTGAACATCAAGAAGGACGGCAGCGTGGACGTCGTCCATCTCAAGGCCAAGGTGTGTTCATGAACTTTGGAACCTCGTCTTCTTCCTGCTCATTTCTTGCGGTCACGTGTAGCCACGTGCAATGAACTCGCTAAGAACTTTTATCAGAGGAGGTGAAAGTATCCGCCACCACACAGTGAACTCAAAACATGCCTCAGGCATTTGACTCTGAGGCTTTTGCAGGTCGTGCCATATCTCTGTCCCGCGCTCTTGCACAAGATCTGTTCTGAAATTCAAATGTCAGACGTTTGGATTCTTCGTTTAGACTTTGCCATCTTAGATCACGTGCTCTGGCGGTGCCCTGTTTCACGTACGGGTTGACAAAAACGTTGCATTGTCCAAGTGGGTTGCTGTGCTATGCACTTCAGACTTAGAGACACAACTCATGGGTGGTCCGACCGGCCCACGATGTGGCGGATAGGCTAGACCTATCTGTTCTGACGTGGGCGCGACCAACTACGAGAAAGTATACACGCCCCGACTTAGATAAAGTTTTCCATACCGTACCAAACGTGTGCACATCATTGGTGATGTATCGCGGATCATTCCTTTGGGATCATTCCGGATGCGAAGGATGAGCACAAACCAATACAAGTGAAGCTGGAAAGGCTGGCGACAAAATATTGTTCGAACGTGGTGATTTATGCAAAACTTCTTTAAATATATTGTAATAAAAGACTTGAGCAGTTGATGGGACTAGCTTTGTATGTGCACATATGGGCATCAAACATATTTTCCTTACAAATACTAAGTGACCATAATGTGTTTGTTAATATTGTGTTTGCGTCATTGTAAAGTGTGTCTAATAAATTGTAATTTATTTCATGCATTACGTCTGAAGAAGTTTAGTATCAATGCGCTTCTAACTGATCTTGAATAACTTGAGAGTTGCACTCTACGTGCACGCACTCTGAAATCATAGTAGCTGTTCTTTTTCCAGCGAAAGCTCTTGTGGGATCACAACAAGGGTCGCGTGCATCGTAGTTGTTTGCCGCCGCCGCCAGTGTCCATAAGCACTATCGAGCAAAATGAGAAAAAAAAACTAATCAGATAGAAAAAATAGGGACAAACTGGGATTCCAACACAGGTTTCCTAGTTAGCCAACCGAGTACTCTATACCACAGAGCCACGGCTGTGCTTGCAACTCCGTTGCAAACTGTCCTTAGGCACGCTTGATGTGGGGAAAAGGAATCGGGTTAACAAGAGTAATAATGATTTGATACGGGGGGGTTTATCGTTCCAAAATCACCGTATGATCATGAGAGACGCCGTAGTGGAGCGCTCCGGAAATTTCGACTACCCAGGGTTTTTTAACGTGCACCAAAATATTAACAAGAGCAATAAAGTGTTTTAGAACAACAAAGAAACAACCAGGCATCGCAAAATGCGAACTTTGTAACGCAAGGGTCGTCGAATACTCTAGAACATTACTCAAGCTTGTTCTTGATCGCCTATTAACTGTTGCGCATACCCACTGGGGGGGGATTGTCCAAGAACTGAGGTGTTTTGTAAAATAGTATGAAGTTTTAGAATAATGAAGGTCATAATATAGAAAGATTACAGATTACATTGTAAATAATGGTGATCAATCTCATGTATACATTATAAAAAAGAAAAAAAAGTTCAGGTATAATTCGTCATCATTGTTCACTTCAGCATAAAAAATCGCACAAAACTCTCTGCAAGGGTGTAGCGGGTATCACGCTTCTTAGAATAATGATGAAAAATAGCATACCGAATGGTGGTCTACTACCCAGAAATTATTATTATATATTATTATTGCCATAGTGGGTACCCTGAAAGTGTGCTTGTAGCAGTTACCCAAAGAGTGTTGAAAAAGGCTCTGAAAGGCTGCTGTTTCATCTTTCGCCGTGACTGTGCTGCGCGTTATGCGCAGGCCTGCCATTTTTTTTTCATTGCCATGCTTTTATTCCTTTGGTACTTTGCTCGAAAGTATCATTACCAGCTCGCACTGTGACTCAGTGCTACACCTTAAAAGGCATTCTTCTTCTATCTCCAAAAGAATCGCGATTGTTGTTCTTTTTATAGAGGTTAGGCATGATATTGCGATAGCAACTGCGCAAGTATAAACTGCCCATCTAACAGTCACCGTCAACCAAGGCCGTGTGAAATATTGGCCAAGCTCTTTCATGTAATAGTTGAGATCGAAGTTTGTTACGCGAGGTATATGGTTGCAATGTTGTACGCCACTATCTGCCTTTTTTTTCCGCCTCCACTGCAGCTCGACCAACATGGTGAGAAGGTTGCCTGCATCATGATCACCTACCCTTCAACCAACGGTATCTACGAGGAGACCATCTGGTAGGTAGCCTTTGAAGTGAAAAGCAGTACCTCTTTAAGCGATGAACTTACCTAGTGTGTGGCTTCAATTATTTGAAGGCGCAATCGCACTTGACCATTAGCTTGCTTTAACCATGATGAGGCATCTTTCAAAACTCGATTTATTTATCTATTTATTTATTTATTTATTTACAGTATACTGCAGTCATAAATGACCATGCAGGTGGGAAATTATGCAGTCGCAAGTTAACAAGCACAGATGTAGCCGAAGGGCACACAAGCTCACAGAAGAGTAAGCAAAGGAAATATATCTGCATATGTAGAAATATTACAAAAGCAAAAACAAACTTAACCTAACTTGACAATAAAATAATACAATTCACAGGACATTCCCACATATATAGCATAAAAAGAACACATCTTGGCCCTTCTAGTTTAAATTCTCCCATAAAAAAGTGCAAAACACATTACAGCTGCAACTGTACAGAAACAACAATAACTACAACAACAAAAGCTCTCCCCGAAATCAGTCGGGCATGTTAATACAGTACTTGCAATTCATGAAGTAACACTAATTAAAGAAACAGTAAAGAATGACAAAATGCAAAGTAATAAGCAATGAGAAAACATAAAATGTGACTTGAACACTCAGTTGTTTACTGCATTTCTATATGGGTAAGCAACGCCCTTTCTATTGTAGTTACGATATTTGAAATATATGAGTTCTTACTTCAGTACACCCACAGGGGGCTCACTAATATTCTTGCTGAAAAAAATCAACTTTGCATAGAAATAGAAAGAGAGAGAGAAAAAGAACTTCTACAATTAAAGGCCCAACTTTCTTTTTTAAAACTTGTTCAGCATTTACGTGAATGAAACGGCTAGCTTCCTGGTGATATATCTATTTCCTCTGTATTGACCCGTGGACTTCTTAAATAACAATTGTCCCATTTAGCTCCTTATTATAAAACCTATACATCGACATAAAACCTTATTTCAAAGAGCGCCTGTGTACGTAACTGCATAATTGACCCCGTTTTATTTCAGTTGAATCACTATTCCTGCGTTAACAATCTGCGTTTAGGACGCAGCAGTCTTCTCTCGCACTATTTTTTTTTCTTTCGCAAGATCTGGAGCCAAATTCAAAAAGTTTTCGTTTGTGAGCACTTCATGTCAATAGATGGTCACCGTAAATAATATTACGTGTAGCTTCAGGGTTGCCGGAAATCAGCTCATATAACCTAGCCTTACTTTTTTTGCTGTTTTTGTTAACAGAGGCTATTATCACCCGTATTCGTGATGAGTGAGCTGACACTACGCTTTGCTCGTTTGTTTGGGCTGCCAAGTCGTCGTAATAAATTTATACCTGCTGCCCGCCTATCGACTCTTCTCCAATCACACGAAGTGGTCTGACGCGTGACACGCCTTTTGCAGTGAGGTGTGCGACCTGGTGCATGCTACGGGAGCCCAGGTGTACCTGGACGGCGCCAACATGAATGCCCAGGTGGGAATCTGCCGGCCAGGAGACTACGGCTCAGACGTGTCCCACCTGAACCTGCACAAGACATTCTGCATCCCTCACGGTGGAGGGGGACCCGGCATGGGGCCCATCGGAGTGTGAGTGATCGGGCTCTGCAGAGCTCCTTGCACTGTTACGTGATTACGCGAAAGAAAGTGCTGAGAAAAAAAATTTGCTTAGATCAAGTGCTGACAGAGACACCACAGTCACCTTGACATCAAATACTAACCCCCGCCACAGTGGTCCAGTGGCTAAGGTACTCGGATGCTGACCCGCAGGTCGCAGGATGGAATCTTGGCTGCGGCGACTGCATTTTCGATAGAGGCAAAATGCTATAGACTCGTGGGCTTAAATTTGGGTGCAGGTTAAAAAACACTAGGTGGCCCAAATTTCCAGAGCCCTCCACTACGGCGTCTCTCATAATCATATGATGGTTTTGGGACGTTGAACCCCACATGTCGATCTGTCAAATCAAATCATCAAATACTAAACCCATTAAATAGAAGCTTGCGTTGCCTCACAAATGTCCGTGGCATTATAGCTGCGTCCAAAAAAAAAGAGAAAGAAAACGACGTTGGCGAGCGCAATGAAATGCATCTCTCAACTGGGTGCTGTTCGCACGCGTATGAGTGTGTGCCGTTTTTCAATAACTGACGCGGTCTCGATCGGGAAGTTCTTGGATGTCAGCAGTTTATGATAAGGTGATCTTGTATTTCGTTTCAGTAACTTCTCGGTTCCACGTTTCATTTTTGCCTGGATATCAACGCGTGACGGTTGTTGTTCCCTGTGGCACTCGAAGTATCGCGAAGCGAAGCACAAGGACGAAGGTCCTATTCCCTGCATGTGGGAGGGAAACGGTTGGGAAGGCACATTGCTCAGTGTTATTGAAAGAGAGAAACAAACAAGCAAATAGTCACAGAGAAGCAATATGCACCTTAGACAAATATAGGTCCGTGCACCTATAACGAAACTTACGTGAGCCCAGCCTGCCTGAGGCAACTTACTCCTTTTTATATACAGCCCACAAGATGCACTGGGTTTCAGTTCGTTAGCCTTCATACTTGTATTAGAATAATTACTCTTTAGACATCCTTACTCAGAAAGAAACTAAGGCTATAGCAGGTTATAGATGTACGGGCACCGATTTTCGAAGTAGAAATTAATCTGTCATAAAATTTCCTGTGTACAGAGACTGCTCTTAGCCAGCGGGAAACCCATTAAATGCTGATAAGATAACTTATTTTGACATTGAAACCATTTTTCTTGTGGCGCACCAACTGACAACGGCACTACTGTGCCGTCAGGCTGCGGTCAATGTTGAGGATTTCACGTGCCTGCGTGCCTCGTACTGGCTATACTTCATGCAAACCGCACATTCAAAGTGGTCGCTTATGCGTCACCAGAAACGTTCAGTAACCCCACTTATGTGTCATCAATGGAACCACGGAGCGGATCAGCCGTTGAAACGTCAAAATATCTTTCTTGAGCACTTAACGACAATCCCATGCCTTGTTGTTACTTCAGGGTACAGTACGAACTAGAATAAGTCTTTGAAGACATTCCGCAATTGTTTTTTAAGGGCGCGCTCATGTTTAGAAGTACATTTTAAAGTCTTTTGAGAACGTGGTCTTCTATTTGATGAAAAATAACAGCTCAAAATTTTTGTGTCAGTACTCCTTTGTTATTAGAGGTCACTGGTGACCTCTGAACGGTTTTATATTCAGGCTATTGACCAAAATGAGCCGCCATGACTGCTTAATATCCGTTACATTTCACCTTGCAGCAAAGCCCACTTGGCACCATTCCTGCCCTCTCATCCCGTGGTGGATCCGTGGTCGTTGGGTGGTGGTGGCCAGAGCTCTTTCGGCGCCGTGTGCGCCGCCCCGTGGGGTTCGTCGGCCATCCTGCCCATTTCGTGGGCCTACATCAAGATGATGGGCTCCCAGGGACTGAGGAGGGCCACAGAGGTGGCCATGCTCAACGCCAACTACATGCGAAAGCGGCTAGAGCCACACTACAAGGTGCTGTACATCGGAAACAATGGTACGAGTTCTCCGTCAACAATGAACCGCAATGTGATGTAGAGCAAAACGGCATAATGTTTTGTTACAGTGTGGTGAAGTAATGATGGTAATAACAGCTGTAATATTAATATATTATTATTAACATTAGTAATGGCCGAACATGCATTACTGTGCCCCAAAAGTGTTACTGCGGTATCAGATGATAAACCAATGAATAGGCACATTAAATCGCATCGTTACTCCAATAATAAAAAAACTTTGTGAAGAATTGTTTCTGAATTCTGTCAGAAACTGACAATGACCGCTAGTAGGTTAATGCGCAGTTTTTGTTAACATCACTACTCTTAAGATTCTGTTCACACAGTAGTGCCTGGTACACTGAGTAAAGTAATTCCTGCGATAACTGGAAGGGGCCAGTAATGGAATGGCAATAAAAATGTTTTTAAAACCTGCAAACAAGTGATATAACCATGTACTACCCACTATTCTAGCCCAAGCCGAAACTAAACCGTGAAAAGAGGGTCCACAATGATAAATTATTTTCAGGCGCTAATGATGCATCGAAACAATGCATTGAATAAGTCCTGCAAGTGCCCATCGTTAGTGTGGTCTGAACACCCGTTCAGAGGGTGGGTGTTACTTCACGGGAATGTCGGCCGAAAGCTGACGTCTTGATTTGACTAATGACGAAGAACCTTAATGTTCATTTACAGGACGTGAACTCTCAATTCCGCGCCAAGATTTACTGAGTCCTAAGACAGTCGTTCGTGATCCAACTCTTGTATGACCACTGTTTCAGGTTTTGTGGCGCACGAGTTCATTCTGGACATGAGAGACTTTAAGAAGGCCACCGGTGTCGAAGCCATGGACATCGCCAAGAGGCTACAAGACTACGGTATGTCGAGCCTGTATACGATATTTATACAGCTGAGAAACGAAAATACGGTGACCTCTGCTATGGCTCCGGATTTATAAGCAAGCTAATCCAGTCAGTACTTGGTGAAGGCTGTTTTATTATTTATCTGGACTGGTATTGCATATTGTCGACTGAAAATATAGATAAACCAGTATTACTTCGCACTAAAGAGTATTCAAGCTGTAATGCCGTTACACGTGTCAACAAGTGGACCCACAAGGCAACATGTGGACCCACTTGAAATGTTTGAAGACGTTATTTGTGATACCAGCATATCTGGGCTGCAATCCAAGCAGTCCACACCACTGTCTACCAAAGCACGCTGCCTAATTCTCAAGCACTTGGATGTAAAGTCGATTCCAACTGTTTTAACGTATACATGGTTGGTTGCATCAGGGTTAACAAAAACAGCTGTGTCGTGGCATACTGAATTCCTTTTATTGTAGCTGTATGGCCTGACCACTTTGACCAACTAGCCTCTTCGAAAGCTGCAGAGAGCACAGCTATTGCTGCTGCTCTTCTCCAATTGAAAAATGGACCTGCCCAACAAGCTTAATTCTCTGGGGCTGTAAGTAGGCAATGTAAGAACTTTCTTCAGGGACCTCCCACAAACAGTAGTTACTGCTAGTCACAAGCATCACTGAAAGACACTACTAAACAAGGCCGCAAGATAGCATTTCAGTGGATACCTTCGCCTGTTTTTGCCAGCGCCACCGAAAAAGCAGATGACCTACATAACGAAGCCCTTTCAAGACAACCGACAGTCCGAGCTCCTGTGAGCTAGCAGTTGCTAAAAGCGTCAATTTGATCCAATTTTGTTGTTTACGAAATTGACTCCACTTGCTACTAGAGTACTTAGCCACGCCGAGTCAACCCTGCTTTACAGAGTAAGTACGTGATCGGCCTGCACTCTTGCATGGTTGTTTAAATTAGGGAACACTTCTTCCCCGCTTGGCACTGAATGCTATAATGTTGCGAACATCTATCATCGTATCTCTGCTTGGTTGAGTTTTCTTGCTCCGAACGGGTAGGAAATATTGACTCAATGGAGAAATGAGGGTTTCTTCAGAGACGCTGCGAATACATTGTGTTTCCAGCAGGTGTGCGGTGGATGTGCAAGGAAGCCACGCATATACTTTTGCCATTTTTTTACGAAAGATAGGTTTAAACGATGTATGGTGAGTCGTACTACATGGAAAGAGTCGCTGAGGACGAGCGATTGCTGGCCTGGTCCTCAGGGCCAACACCGCCTGTGGCAACATCGTCACCCCTTCCACCACACATAATTATGTATCTCAACTGGAGCCTGGTCTGAATTTTTTTGTTTGTGATTGTTTTTCGGTTGAGTGTTAGCAGCGGGATTTTTCGATTAAGGAATATAAATTTCGAGGGCTTGAGTGCCCGATTCTATATAGATGATTACTTCTTTTCGAGAGGTTGTGTGGTTCCCGACGTCGAGCTCCACTTTTATGGACAGCACTGACCTGGTCACCCATTTATAGACGTTTTTTTTTAATTTCTAGTTAACTGATGCTTGTCTAAGTCTTCACCATTTTCTCTCTTGTTTGCTCTTTCTCACCTCTATCTCTTTCTTCTCTGTCTTCTCTTCCTTCCTACCAAAAAAAAGCAGGCATTGTGCCACTCCAGGTGGCAGTTGCCAGCTTGCTCTCTCCCTTTTTTCTCTGTGTCCTTGTATGTCTGGGTATGCAAATCAAATGAATGAATCAATAAATAGGCCTTTGTGCACGTCAGTGCACATCCCAAAAGGGCTTCTTTTTGAATGAGTTGGTGCTTAACTTGCTTTCTTTAGGATATGGTTTATTTTTTCTTGCGCCTCAGTCATCTGGACCTAAAAAAGTGCGCATCTCGTTCGTTGGGCCAAAGTACTAGTTTATTGTCTTTTTCTAAATGCTTCTGGGTATCTCCCTGTTCTTCTTCCGCAGGTTTCCACGCTCCGACGGTGTCCTTCCCCGTGAGCGGTTGCCTGATGGTGGAGCCGACCGAATCCGAAGACAAGCAGGAGCTCGACCGCTTCTGCGACGCCATGATCTGTGAGCTGCGTCGCTCTTCTCTTTCACGTTTACCTGCATCCCTTGCCTAACTTTCATTCTCATCAACGCCACTCATTATCGACTAATTAAGGGACTAACATGGCATGCTTTCATTGCTCCATTCACTTAGGTGTTGCATTTCTCCGCTTAGTTTTTGCTTGATTCTTAACTACTGTCCATCACAGGAACGGGGATGTAATCAAAAGCATTATCCCCGTTAACCGTTCGCCGCACATTGGGCAATAGACCTATAGGCACTTTAAAGTGAAATATTATATTAGTTTAGTCTGATAAATTATGCTTTGAAAACTCCAGTGTCCTCAATTTTGCCACCACAGGTTGATTAATGAATGATAAAGTTAATCCTTAAGTTACCACTTGCATATACGTTTCTCGCCGAAATATGAGATGATGACGTCACGAATTTCAGTGCTTTTTGTATTTTGGCCACTTTGGCTAAGCAAAATATTCTGAAACTGAGTATGCAGAGTTTCTGGTTCATTCGCTCGCGTCAGTAGCTTAGATTTTAGGTGTCACGTGGCTCATGCATGGTCAACAAAGTAAAAAAATCACGCATCTGAGACTGAAAGTGATAGTCGCTATCAGGAAGCCACCTATGCATTGTTCATGCCACTACTTCTACAGCTTCTGTTGACAAAGCTATTTATGCTGCCACACATGTCACCGCTGCGGTGGTTGTTGCTGTCAGTGCTGTCATTCCAGCAATTACTGCTGTTTCTCCTTATTTTTTTTTCTTCTTGGCTTTTTCACTTACAGGAGTACTAACATATATTTAAACATTATCAGGTTGTTTCTTTAATTAAGAACATGGGTGTCGACAACCCTAAAAAGAGTACCTCGGGGTGCTTGAGAAGTCAGTCAATATTTCTTCATTACCGCTACCAGAACAACAAATTCAGTTTCGGTATCGCGAAAGTGGCTTTTCGGTGAAGCGTCAAGAAGGATTTGACATCATGGAAAGACTGCAACTGGCGGCATACACTTGCAACAGCCGGTTGCTGTCAGTCGCACGAGGTTCACAAAAACAAGGCTAAGCAAAGTACAGTCCAGAGACTCTGACAGCGATTTCTACGATTTAGTTTGCGCGCACGATGACAATTTCTCAAACCCAGTGAACTGTGTTGACTTGTCATGATAATGTCCATTGCAGTGGGGTCTGGATGACGATGCTGGGTCATGAACTTTAAAATCAAAACAAAATATTTTCGACGTGTTGTCTGACTCCGGTGTATGGGGATCGTTGATAGTGTACTTCATGGAAATCAAAGGTGTCCTTTTTACAATGCCTCAAAATGTTTTCAGTGCTACATTTATTGTTAGAACTTCTTGCAGCTCTTACAGCGGTCATCATCATGCACTCAGAGATTCAGTCACTGCACTCAACTCTTCGGGAAAGCAACCTTTCATCTTTTGTATTCTTCACTTTTTTTTTATGCAGCGATTCGGCAAGAAATCCAGGACATCGAGAATGGCAAGCTTAGCGTTAAAGCCAACCCCCTGAAGGTGCGTGCTTGTTCTGCGTTGTTGCTTATTCATACGAGTTCACAATAATTATTGCATCTTGCAGAGGCGAAGCAGCTCTTTGACTAACCTATGTAATCCTGTCCCTCCGTACAACCCCACTGCGCCTGCTCGTGTCTCGTGCCGGCCCACGTAGACACCCGCAAAACTGTCGCTCCCCTCTCCATCTCTCGTCTCGCAAGGCTGACGTAGGCAGCATCTGCTAATAAAAAACGACTGCTCGCGCTCCGCAACCATTCACTGGCCACCTCGTATATGTAGGCACTGGATCGCGCATTCGCAATTTAGTAAAGGGTGTCTTTACTTGGCTTTCGCTTGATGAGAGCCGGCGTCAAGGTCGCCGCCGATGTAAGTGTTAGCGCCCGCTGCTTCGCATCTACACATGGTTCCCCTTAGAGGGAAATGGTCCAAGTTTTTTATTGTTGTTTTTTATCCCACTGACCAATACCAAATAACCTCGAACTTCGCTTGCTCAAATAATTGTGTTAGAGCACCGTTAATCTGCCGAGTCACCTATACCACAGCCGTTGATGCAGTCGATATCCAGGAGACTGCACTAGCATGTTCTGCGCTGATTCCTCCTCTAGTGACTAATTATGACTAATGGTCAATGAGTCCGAGACTATTAGCTAATCACCTAAAGGCCCCTTTTGTCACAGAAAGCTATACTAGATAGCATAACCGACTCTGAGCAACACGTCTAATTTGCAATCATGCCTGACAAAAAGCTACAGTGGAACTTTCGTACCACTTCACGATCGTGCAAGAAATGAGATTTGTATAGACTTCCCAGTTCGGTGCTGAGTAGTCCTTGACCCAACTATGCGTTTTCGGCGCAGACCGGTCCGCTCATGAAGGAGGTTGAACAGAGCCAAGCCGGGAACACTAAAACCCACTGTGTGCTCTTATATTTTGATTACTTGCAACAGTGGCGTACCAAATCTCCCACGAGTGGGGGGCTAACCTACTGCAATCGTCAGCCGCCTGCACTATATATATATATATATATATATATATATATGTATATATGTGTATATATATATATATATATATATGTATATATGTGTATATATGTATATATGTATATATATATATATATGTATATATGTATATATATATATATATGTATATATGTATATATATATATATATATATATATATATATATATATATATATATATATATATATATATATATATATATATATATATATATATATATATATATATATCTATATGGAGAGAGAGAGAGAGAGAGAGTTTGGGTGCACGTTAAAGAACCCCAGGTGGTCAAAATTTCCGGAGCCCTCCACTACGGCGTCTCTCATAATCAAATGGTGGTTTTGGGACGTTAAACCCCACAAATCAATCAATCAGAGAGAGAGAGAGAGAACTTCGCCGCACTTGCACTTTCATGTGATTTTTCATACTCAAAGCACTTGTTCAATAGGCTGATATGCCATGCCTATGCTTGCTAGACTGACACAGTAGGCTTCAATAACACTGCAATGCTCACCCCTAACATTTTATTCTTTAATGGTCACGTGCACACACAATAATTCCAAGGCCCGTTCATATTGGCTCAAACTGTGCGATAATGTTGGTTGAAAGAAATAAACCTGCTCTTTTTTTTTCTCTTTTATTTATGTTGATGTCCATAGAATGCGCCACATCCCCAAAAGATTGTCATCAGTTCTACGTGGGACCTGCCTTACACCAGAGAGCAGGCTGCATTCCCAGCGGTAAGATTGCTGTGTGATTAAAGGAATAATACAGTTGCATGCCAGGTGGCAAACGAGACAAACATCTTCTGGGTTATCTCACAACTTTCTTCTATCTGTCTGTCTGTCTGTCTGTCTGTCTGTATGTCTGTGTCTGTCTGTCTGTCTGTCTGTCTGTCTGTCTGTCTGTCTGTCTGTCTGTATTATTATTATATATAACTTATTAAATGAAATACATGAGTTTTAGGGAAGACTGTTCACTAAAAGCTGTTGGAAAAATAGCCTCGCTGGATGAATGGTCTGTTACATAGCATAACTGGCGATCACATGAAAAATTGTAACATTGTCAAACACTCAAAATAAATTACTTACGTAAATGAACAAAACAAGACTGAGGTAATATTGTCACAATGCAGAAACAGCAGCAGTCGAATCCAGGGAACTCACTTTAATTGTACCAGAACACTGGCAAACTGATCGGAAGAGAACCTCGTCTTCTTCTCTCGCTGCGCGTGTTCTTCGTTGTTCTTTTGGTGCTGCATATTCAATGTGGCATTTGCCCCCCTCCAGAGAGCAGCGTCCTGATGCTCTTCTACAAAAGACGGTGTAGTAGATGTATGGTGTAAATCAGTCCGAAAAGTAGGGCTTCATTCGCACAACGTGCACGATTTCTGGTTTTTTCTGGCGTGTTGTCGAGGGGCTGTCAGAAACGACCACGTAATTAAAGTCGCTCAGGCGTTGTAAAACTGTGTAGGGGCCAAAATACTTCTTCAGCAATTTTTCAGACAGTCCCCGGTGGCGGATAGGACTCCATACCCAGACTTTGTCGCCGGCCCGATAGACGACATGTCGGTGTCGCAAATTATAATGTTGGGCGTCATAATTTTACTGCTGGGTGATTCGGACGCGCGCAAGCTGCCTCGTTTCTTCTGCTCGTTGGGTAAATGATACAGCGTCCAAATCGATGTCATTGCAGTCGTGCAGTAACATGGCGTCAAGCATCGTCGTCACTTCACGGCCATGAAGGAGACTGAACGGCGTTCTTCGTGTAGTTTCTTGCTGCGCTGTATTATAGAGTTCTTGTGATTTACGTCAACGTACGTACTCAACATGTTGGCAATAGTATCGTTGAGGCGTTCTGTTAAGCCGTTGGTTTGTGGATGATAGGAATTGGTTTCCTGATGGGCTGTTCCACTGAGCTCAAGCACTGTCTTCAGGAGCGCGGCCGTGAAAGCGGCACCTCGATCCGTTCTTATGATTGTTGGAGCACCGTGCCAGAGGAAGATATTTTCTACGAATAATCGTGCGGTTTCAACGGTGGTGCCACTTGACAAAGCCTTTGTTTCGGCGTAGCGCGTAAGATAATCAGTGGCCCACTTGTTGCCAGCATGGGAAGTCGGATATGGTCCAAGGAGATCCATGCCAATTTGGGCAAAAGGTACCGTGGGCACTTGAATTGGTTGTAATAGTTCAGCTGGTTTTAACGGTGGCAATTTTCGTCGTTGGCAATCGAGGCACGTGCGCACGTAATGCTTCACAATAGCTGGAAGTCCTGGCCAGTAGTATTCCTGTTGGATTCTGGCCAATGTGCGTGTGTATCCGAGATGACCAGACGTTGGCTCATCGTGGCAAGCACAAAGTATCCCCTCGCGGAGTGACGTCGGAACGACAAGTAGGTGGGTGCTTCCTCTGGCAGAAAAGTTCTTCTTATAGAGAACACCACTACGTAAGCAGAATGACGGCAGGCTCCTTGCGAATCTTCTAGGGACGGTTGTTGTCCGGCCATTCAAAAATTATATAAGGGGAAGCAACTCACTGTCTTCTTTCTGCTTGCACGAAATCGTAGTGATGTCGACGACTCCTACAAACGCCATGCTGTCATCTTCTGTGTCATCGTCGCGCTTTATCGGTGACCTTGATAAGCGATCGGCGTCGGTGTGCTGCCTTCCGGACTTGTACACGACCATCATATCAAACTCTTGAAGGCGTAAGCGCCACCGTGCGAGCCGACCAGACGGGTTTTTCAAGTTGGTCAGCCAGCAGAGGGAATGATGGTCGCCGACTACCTGGACGGAAAGACCATAGAGATACGGATGAAACTTCATAACCGCCCATACGACAGCAAGACACTCTTTTTCCGTTGTGGAGTAGTTGGACTCGGCGCGGGAAAGCGTCCTACTACCATATGCGATCACACGCTCGGCTGAGTCTTGCCCCTGGACGAGTACAGCGCCTAAACCCACGTTGCTGGCATATGTGTGGACCATGGTAGGAGCATCCTCATCAAAGTGAGCAAGCAGAGGCGGAGTCTGCAGGCATTGTCGGAGATCGTCAAATGCCACCTGTTGATCGTCGCCCCATGTGAACGAACCGTCTTCTCTTGTGAGTCGTGTTAACGGCGAGGCTATGTGGGAGAAATTGGCAATAAACCTTCGGTAGTATGCGCATAGGCCAAGGAAACGCCTGACTGCTTTCTTGTCTTTTGCCACCGGAAATTTTCTGACGGCCGCAATCTTATCGGGATCAGGTCGGACACCTTCATGGCTCACCACATGGCCTAAAAATTAGAGCTTCTTGAAACCGAAATGACACTTCTCGGGTTTCAGTGTCAGGCCGGCAGACCTTATTGCCCTGAATACCGATAGCAGCCTGCTCAGGTGTTCCTCAAATGTTTTTGAAGAAACAATGACGTCGTCCAGATATAGCAGACATGTCTGCCACTTAAGGCCTGACAGAACGGTATCCATCAGTCTCTGAAATGTTGCGGGGGCTGAGCACAATCCAAATGGCAAGACTTTAAATTCATTAAGCCTGTCAGGTGCTACAAAAGCCGTTTTTTCTCTATCTCGCTCGTCAACCTCAATTTGCCAATACCCACTTTTGAGGTCCATTGACGAAAAGTAGCGTGCATACCTCAGCCTGTCGAGTGAATCATCGATGCGCGGTAATGGGTATACGTCTTTCTTTTTCACATGGTTCAGCTTGCGGTAGTCGACACAAAATCGCAAGCTTCCGTCTTTCTTCTTAACCAGCACTACCGGCGATGCCCAAGGACTTCTTGATGGCTGAATGACGTCATCATCGAGCATTTTCTTCACTTGTTCCTGGATTGCTTTACGCTCTTTCGGTGCTACGCGGTAGGGGTTCTGTCGTATTGGCCTTGCTGTCTCCTCCGTTAGTATCCGATGCTTCGTCAGTGGCGTTTGACTGACCCTCGAGGTCGATGAAAAACAGTCTTTGAACTGGTGAAGAAGATCTACTAGACGCTGTCTCTGCGCTGGTGACAAATCCGTTTTAAGTCAATAGATGGTGGGGCTGACGTGGCTTGCGGCTCGTCCTGTTGTACTACACAGCACTCGCGGATTTCGGTGATCTCGTCGAAGTAGGCAACTGTAGTGCCTTGTGTAATGTGTCATCGCTCGTTGATAAAATTCGTCAACAGAACCTCTGCTTCACCGCACACAACATTGACGATACTTCTTGCAATTGCAACACCGCGAAAGAGTAGAAGCGTCAATACTTGTTCAGCGATTCCTTCTCCAGTATTCTGCTCGCTGCACGTGACTGAAACAAGGCGGCACGATAACGGAGCTACGGTCACATCGTCAATGACTCGCAGGGATTTTCGGTGTAGCGCTGCGCTTTGATCCGCTGAAGAGGTCAGTACACCGTCCGGAATATTGATGATGGCACCATATTCACGCAAGAAATTTATCCCTAAGATTGCCTGTTTGCAACGCTCAGAAAGAATAACAAAAGTTGCGGCGAAGGATGCATCCCCTGTCTTCATTCTTGCGGTGCACTTTCCGGTAGATGTGAGTAGCTGCCCTCCAGCTCCTCTAATCTGCAGACCTGTTTATTCCATTCTAACCTTCCTGAGCGTGTCTGCCAGACTCTCACTCATTATTGAGAAGTCTGCGCCAGTGTCGACCAATGCCATGACGTCATGTCCGTCAATCGTAATTGCAACTTAGGCAGTAACAACCCCATCTTTCGTCGATTCATTGAAAATGTGTCTCTCTTCGCTCGGCAGTATTGGGGGATTTTCAGCACTTCGACGATTCGCAACCTTCCCCCCTGAGTCGCTGCTTTTAGTTTCCCCGGCGTGGACTAGGAGATCTCCCTCTTGGCATGTCAGTGGTGCTTCGTCTAGAGGATGGAGAATAACACCCAGGAGAGGGTGAGCGTGACCAAAACCCAGGAGGAACATCCCGCGGGGTCATGACATTCGTGTCGACGTCAGGTGTTGCGTTGAAATGGCGCCGAGGAACAGTGGAAGGAAACCCTTGGTACCCTGCGGTGCGATACGGTCAATACCGAACGATGTGGCCTGCTTCCCCACAGTGAAAGCACAGGGGCTTATGATCAGGGGTACGCCAGATGTTAGTTTTGCGAAGTGGTGGCTGCCTCGGGGTAGAAGTTTCTCTGTAGTACCAAGGCACTGTCGGCGGATGCTGCTGGTGGTACTGATGTGGTGTCAGCACGTTCGCTGGCTGTCGGCGGACTACGTCTGCATAGCTTGCCCTGGGAGTGCTCGTGTTCGGCTCAGGAAGCAAGAGCGCTTGCCTGATCTCCTGGCATACAACTTCCGTTACTGAGGCGATCGCGCAGTCATTCGGTTTGGCGACGAGCTTCTTGACCTCTTCTTGTACGATTTCTCGTATTAGTTGGCGTAAAGAGCCTTCGTCGGGTGTTGTTGCTGTGGTAGTGGCTGCCACACTGATCGGTGCACTGAGGGTTGGGTGGTCATACTGGTGATAACTTAGGTGCAGTGTGCGTTCAATAGATGTCGCCTCCTTGGAAAATTCATCCACACTTGTAGGCGGGTTTTCTACGAGACCAGCGAAGAGCTGCTCCTTAACGCCCCGCATGAGGTGGCTAACCTTTTTGGCTTCGGGCATATTAGGATCTGCTCGACGAAATAGCCGCGCCATGTCCTCAACAAACATCGTAACGGATTCATTTGGTTTCTGAATCCGTGACTCGAGGAGACGCTGTGCGATTTCTCGTCTTTCAGTGCTCGCGAACGTGTCGAGGAACTTCTGGCGGAAGTCGTCCCACGACGACCACACGCGATTCGTGAACAATGTTCGGGCTCCGTCTTGAAGCGGAAAATAAACGTAGTTCAATTTCTGTGTGGTGTTCTACCCGTTAACATTCGCTGTGTGCTCGAATTCCTCGAGCCAGTCATGTGCATCCTCATATGCGTTTCCGTGGAAGTCAACTGGAAGTCGAGGGTTCAAAACAGTCATTTGTGTCTTGCTTGGGCTGGACATGTTCGGGCCAGTGCTTCCAGGCACCGTCATGCTTTCTGGCACAGTCACGCTTTCCGCAATGGACCAAACTCCGGGCTGAGGCCTAACAGGCGCCGGCTGCTGCGGTGAACGGGGGTGTCGATGCGCGGAAGTCTTTCTGGACTAGATGCGGGGCTGTTGTCAGGCGTCCAGAACATGTACCCAGCGCCTCCACCAGTGTCACAATGCAGAAACAGCAGCAGTCGAATACAGGAAACTCACTTTAATTGTACCTGAATACTGGCAAACTGGTGATGTTGATGATGATGATTCTACAGCCATGGCTCGTACCTACTCAGGGGGATCGGCCAAGAATTGATGACTTAATTCAGTAAGATTTTTTTTTTCAATATCGAAACCACCCACCAAAAAAAAGAAAAAAGGAAAGACACCCTACGCAGAATGAAAAGAGTGCAATAGTTGTTTCGGAAGAGAACCTTGTCTTCTTCTCTCGCTGCGCGTGTTCTTCGTTGTTCTCTTGGTGCTGCATATTCAATGTGGCAATATAAGTACTAACAGAAAAGATTCGATGGATCAAAGTAAAGAAATATATGCAAGGGTTACGAGAAAGCAACACAATTCGCTGGATAAATGACTGCGATAAGCAGCAAAAAAAGTTAAATCATTGCACGATTACATAACGCTTTGAATGTTCCTTTGAGAACAAACTTCTTAATCATTGATATTTATTCAAAATGCATGCCAGACTATGCTTTGATGATTATAAGGTTATCTTTATTTAGTTCTTTTTGTTGCTCACAGATGTACACCATTGTCTTCATTCTTCCTACAGAAGGAAAATAGAGATTGATTGATTGATTGATTGATCAATTGATTGATTGATTGGAATAACAGGCCAAGTATCATTGCCACAACACACTTCCTTATTCAGTTCTTTTTGCAATGTTCCATTTTACGTCTTTACTACAGAAGTTCGTGACGCCAGAGACAAAAATATGGCCGACAGTGGGTCGGATCGACGACATCTACGGGGACACCAACCTCGTCTGCAGCTGTCCACCCATGGAGACGTACGAGTCTTTATAAGTCGCCGCCAAACACCAGACAGTCTGCAACCCCCCTTGGCGGCTTGTTCGCTTGCTTGCGTCGACGCTACGGTACCACACGCGACGTCATCATGCGTGACGCACCCATGCGTCACCAAAAATAAGTTTTTTCAACGCCTGGTGCGAGCTATGAGAACCATGTGAACCGCGAGGCCGTGGGCCCGCCCCCGCATTGGGTGTGGGCGGGCCCACGCGGGATACTCCCGCAGGGCGCAATGCCCACGAAAGTGTTGGAACGCGTCAACGTTTACGCGTTTTGAGCGAAGGGGCTGACTGGACATGACCACCACGTTGTTGGAGTTCGCGGACTCTATGAGTAGACTGATGTTCACTTGTGCTTGACCCTTTTTTTCCGCTGAGTGGTGTTAGTCGGTCTCACTTTTTTTTTTTTACTACCTAAGGTGCAACCGCTCCGTTGCGCCATTCAGCAAGCTGACTGTTCGTGGAGGACTGCATCTTTCTTTGCTCAGAACGTTGTAATTTAATTATCAAAGCAGACAGTAATTGTCAGATTTGTTCGGGCTGGCGCATAGAACCAACTAGAGACTGTCAATACTTACCAGGTGTGCAAATCTTGGAATTGTACCGACATAATTTTTGTTTTATGTAGAGAGAGCCATATCGCTCTGAGCATTGTAAAAGTTCTCCCTCTTTTTCTTTTCACGTGGATTCACTTCATTTTGTCGCCGCAATCAGAGTCGTGCCAATCCATCCTCACTATTTTGTGTTCCTTCTTTGAAAGAACATCTAAGCTCCAATGTGTGGGCCTTATCTGTAAATTATGTTGTTTCTTGTATAAATTATCTGTGTGACGTCAAATGTGGCTCTCTTGTATTTTATAAACGCGCGTAGAAAATGGTTCCAAATACTCAGCCATTACGAAAAAAAAAAATGGAAACGTTGCACCAACTCCCGCTAACGAGAACCATGTGTAGGTGGTTAGTGTAAGCGCCAGTGTAGACGCTTACACTGGCTGGTGCTCATCGCGGCGTTGCGCAGGCGCAACAAGTGGAGGTGCAAAGCACGCAGTGATAGACCGGTGTTTCCTACTGGAACGTGCCCATCACTGCTAATTGGCAATGAGAGGCACAAGACTCCGATTGGACAAAAAGACCCGCAGCCCGCTTTTAGTTAACGCGCACACTGCTATTTTCACTGTTCAACAACGCACAAGAAAAATCTGCCACTGGCGCTATCTTGAAGGTCAAAATCCAGTGATACAAAGTGTCCAGTGAACGGTTGTGCATCGAGGGCAGTCAGTTTTTTCACTCGAGAAACTCACCTTGCTGCCGGGTGAGAGGGAGAGAGGGGGAGAGGATGCGAAACCTAATGAAGTGCGTCACACCACGGGCACCCGTCGATTCTTGTTCGTTGATCACTTACGATGGAGACAATTTGAAAGGCTGCATTTGCCTTGTGTATGGAATGTAGTCCAATATCGATAAAACTGTCACAGCTATAGACCGTATTGTTGTTTACAAACACAGGCGCTGAATGGCTTCCGGTTCTGTGTGCCGGCGTAGCATAGCAGTACTGGCGAGGAACAAAGCCCTTAATGAGTGGCCATGTCATTTTCAAAAGCTTTCTCCTTGTGTCTGGTTAGTTAGTTAGTTAGTTTTTGAAAACAGAAATTTCTAGGCACTTGAGCATCGTGTTTACGACTCCAACTCGCAAGAATAGGTAACTATACGTGTGAAAATCGCATAAAATCCATGTGCAGGGGACGAACTTGATAAATTCGCACACGTTTCTGGGACGATTCGTGTGTAGCCACTTTTCGTTAATATGCGTGCGCATTAAAAGCGGTAAAATCGTATCACAAACTTGTGCATTACAAACCAACAAATCATATCGTGGTTATGGCACGTAAAACCGCAGATAGTGTATTATTAGGGAGTTTTAGAATCACGTTTGCAGGCACTGCGGGCATAGCGGGCACCATATGAGCTTTACAATAACGTTTGCCCTTCCTAGGGAACAATCTAAGGACTTTAGCTGGTCCGCAAACTCAAATGCATGGAAACTACACATAGCCTCGACACCAGCACATCGCGGGCCTCGTGGGTCGCGATCGCCGCACGCTATTTCGGATTTTCTGCGGGCGGGCCGCGAACGCGAATGGTGGCTCGCGTATGACGCATGCGCAGTGGCAGCGACTGCACCACAAGGGCTCGTGGTGCGCTTTTTTAAAACTCCCTATTTACAGTGAACGGCCTGTTCACAACGTTCGCCACCGCCAACTCCGAACTTGCGTCCACGTGAAGGCGACGCCTAAGAAGCAACGCAAAAAGCGTCACCAGGCTGCGAATTATATTTCCCTGTAAGATAGTGTCATGCACAGAGCGACCACTTTGTAGTGCTAACGAAATGTTTTTTAATTATTTTTATTTTTTTCTTTCGCTCACTCGTCGCGACTACTGGACAACGGCTGGAGGTGCACATGCGAGCGAAGCGCGAAGAAGAATCAAAACTCGAATGTGCTTCATTTTCCGGAACCGCAACCCTAGCTCTTAAGTCGCAGTTCGTCGTTTATATTCATTTTTATTTTATTTCTTCCGAACCGCAAGAGGAGCAAATGAGAAGGATCGTCGAACGATGCTTCTACAACACTTCTTGTTGGTGCCTCGAGGTCACGACCGAAAATTAAAAAAAAAAAGTGCCGCCATATCCACGAAGTGAATAATGATGAGTGGGCGAAGCTCCGGAGGTAAACCTGGTAAACCATGAATCCTCTGTACATTTTGCCCACTCGATTTTATTACATCGCTCCCCCTAGCGTACGTCGCCGCACTAAATCGAACGATTGCCTTCAACCAATGACACGCGCCATATGTGACATCATTCCTATTTTATAAGATCTCGCGTCTTTCATCAACTACAAGTACCGCTTTCTAGTTTGTAACATCTTGCATCTTTTCATCATCAGCTACAAGTACCACCATCTAGTAAACACTACAAGAACTAAACGAGAGGTGGCTACAGGATGGATGAGGATGATTAAAGGCCTCCCCTTTGAATCGGGGTGACGGCATGCGCCATCTAGCCTACCTTAATAGTTCGAGTTTAAATTCTGTCCCTTAACTCGGATGTCTTTTTAATTTTGCCCAGCCGCTACTACTACTACTACTACTACTACTACTACTACATGGATGGATGGATGGATGCTATGAGCGTCCCCTTTATAACAGGGTGGTGACAAGTATGCCACCAGGCTCGACAAAAAAAAAAAAACCCTTTTTTTCTTTTTATGTTGGCCTAATGCCTCTACTTCGATAAATTCTATCTTAATAGAAAAAAAGGTAAATTTTCAGCTTAAGTTCTCTGCCATTTACGGCACACTGTCCATATTTTATTTTTCCAATATTTATTTTTGTCCTTTCTCTCTAATTTTCTGCCACCAATACTCTAACCGTCTCTTACTTATTTCAATCGCGGGTGTGTTCAGCTTTCCATTGTTGTCCCTAAAACCCAAGGCTTCCTGTAGGCTCGTGCCCAAACGTACACCTGGGTGGATATCTCCACATTCAATCAGAACATGCTCCGCCGTTTCCTTATCTTTCCCGCAGCATGTGCATTGTTCTTCTTCTTTACTGAATCTTGCTTTATAACTACGCGTTCTAAGGCAACCCGATCTCGCTTCAAACAGTAAAGCGCTTCCCCTTGAATTATCGTAAAATGCCTCCCTCCTTATTTCATTTTTGCCCTTTCGGTAGTTACTCAAAGCCGGTTTTTTCTCCATAGCTGCCATCCAGTAAATCCTCTCCGCCTCCCTGACTTTTCCCTTAACGCTCTTTGTTGACATACGGCTTACAATACCAGCCGTATACTTACTAGTGAGTCTTCTAGTTCTTTTTCTCCACTGTGTGTCCACGCTCTTCCTATACAAATAACGGAACACCTTTTCTGCCCATCTACTCTCCTTCATATTTCTTAGCCTTTCTTCGAACCTTATTTTGCTCTGCGCTTCCCTCGCCTCAAAACCTGCCCACCCCATATCGCCCTTTACAGCCTCGTTTGTCGTCTTCCCGTGAGCACCCAACGCGAGGCGTCCCACAGTCCTTTGATTTACATCCATTCCCGCTTGCACCTCTGCCCTCATGCACACCACTGAGTTCCCAAAAGTAAGCCCTGGAACCATTACACCCTTCCACAGACCTCGAAGCACCTCATACCTATTGTATCCCCACAACGCTCTGTGCTTCATTATTGCCGCATTCCTCTTTCCTTTTGCTGCCGAGGCTTTTTCCTGTACCTCCATGTATCTATCACTCTCATTTACCCATACTCCAAGGTACTTGTATTCACTTACCCTCGGTATTTCTTGGCCTTGTATGGACACCGTCTGATCACAGGGATCATTGAATACCATCAATCCACACTTCGTTACACTGAATCCTAGTCCAAGAGCTTCACCTTCCCTTCCGCATATATTCGCCAGCTGCTGTATATCATCTCGACTGTCCGCAAATAAGACGATATCGTCCGCATAAAATAAACCTGGAAGCTTCTGCTCAATCATCATGCCGCCCTGTTTGTGTGACAGATTAAAACCAATGTTGCTACCTTCTAGCGCTTTTTCCTTACTCACCATGTACAGCATGAATAACAGCGGGGACAAAGGACATCCCTGTCTCAGACCCCTGCTAAACTCAACGTTCTCTTTGCTACGCATTCCTTCCCACTCTATGCAAACTGTATTTTCTCGGTATATCTCCCTCAAAAGCTGTATACAGTCGTCGCCCATGCCCATTCCTTTCAATATATCCCACAAAATTTCCTGATTAACGTTGTCGTATGCCCCCGTGATGTCTAGAAAAGCCACGTACAAGGGCCTATTCTCTACATACAGGAGACGGTACCGCCATCTAGTGAACACTGCAAGAACTAAACTAGAAGTGGCTACATACAGGGGACGGTACTGCCATCTAGTGAACACTGCAAGAACTAAACTAGAGGTGGCTACATACAGGGGACGCACAGCCCACGCCCTAAGGAGCTTCGCCCCTAAAAATGGCCGCGTTTCTCCGTGCTTAACTGTAAAGGACATCGAAAGACGTCTTCTGAGAGGAGTCGCTACGTGAGATGTGGCGCCACCTGGCAGAGTAATGTGAAGGAACGAATATATTTAGAACGCAGAGCCGCGGATCAGCTGCAGCAGCGGGTCGTTTAAGTTATATAAGGAGCCTTCATGTGCAAAAGCGAGGTGGCGCGCACGTGAAGGTTCCCTAGTTTAAGTTATTAGCCCTTGATGTTTTTAGCGAAACGTTGGAAACACCCACAATTTCGTTCATAACGTCACATCATCGGCGCAGCGTAATAAGCACTTCAGTCTTTAGAATTACGTATCCGTGCATTTACATAAAGAGACACACTGGATAACATTTACATATTGACATTGCGTCTCAAGTATGCGTAATGTTTTTTTTTTTTTCTGATGGGCGATGTTCACAAGTGTGAACGCCGCAACCAGATCTAGATGGGTGGGCGTTGAGCAAGGGCTTAAACTTTCACCGGGTGCCTGCACCGTCGGACAGGCACAAACAGGCAAACCAAAATGTTAACGTCACAGTATCTGAAAATGAAGAGAAGACTACCGCCTGTAAAACGAACAACGATCGTCCCATCAAGCACTCGAGCCACTGAAGCTTAGGTAAGCACGCCACCCTCGTGATTCCAGTACTTCGATGTTTTGCCCGACTTAAACGCGAGGAATGCAATAGGACCATATGGAGCTGCCTAACATCACCACTGTTCACCATATTTAATCGCCGTCATCTATAGCGAATTATTGTTGGCTTTCTTGATCTTTTATTGTGCTC